CTGTATTGGTTACTACTTAATTATCGTGATTTGCAGGAAAATAGCTGATGTAGCTCGCTTTGTATTCCCTCCAGAAAGAATGGCTGACAGCAACGTAAAACAGTCGGCGGAAATCTTGCTTTCGTTGAAAAATGGTAGTGCTTTAAGTCATTCCGCGGTTTCTTTCCCCGAGGCCGCTGATACCGCGGAATCGTCGCTCCCAAGAGGTCTTGGTTTCAGCCACGAAAAGCCAGGTAAGCTTAGTGCCCGTCGGACACTTTTAACCCTTCTGATTACAGCCGAGAAGAACAGGGATAGCGCGGTCGCCGCATCCAGCTCCTTTCCCGCTTCTTATACGCATTCTGCTGAAAAGTAAGTACCGCATTCGACAGTTTTTTCTTGTGGATTCCGTTTGGGTGGCGAGCTTTCAGGTACGGCGCCTCGGCGCTTCTTTGGCCCGTGTCCTTTGGCCATTGTACCATCGCGTTTGATTTTGCGCCAGTTTCTGCCAAAAGCTCGTCATTCATCACTAGATCAGCCGTTGCGTTCTTAGTCTTTGCCCGTCTATTGGTGTCTGGCTTTTTTACTACGGTTCATGCGTGCGTAACTTTTCACGTGCTCGATCGTCTGAATCATGTCACGAATCGTAAAGTTCAACTGTTCGAAAGAGTACATTGTGGGCTTTTAAGTTTTTAGCTTCCTTGCTCAAATTCTGGTCGTAGGTTGACTACTAGCTGGTCTTTTTCCCAGTCGTCTCTGTTACCTGTTGCATATTGTTCAATATGCATTAATCACATTTTTTTCTGCCGTGAGTTATAAACTTAATATCATTTTGCTGAACGAATTAACGGCTGTAAAAATTGAACCATCTTTGGGCCGATACGAAACATTCGCAGAATAACGTTTTATCGATTACGTTTAGTCCAGTGTAGTACAATTTAGTTCTCATATTAAGACTCTTAACCGGTGACTATAGTGACTTCTCCAGCTACTGGCTTATGTTTATGTTATTTTAATCAGTGAGTCCCAAATTATCCTCACAATCCGCAGTACTGATTTGTTGTATTTGGTGTTAAATTGAAGATTAAGTTAAATAACTATAACTTGTTCTAGGAGGGTTACACAAAATTAGCAACATCAGTTCTTAGATTCGCGATGTTTGCACTAATCAAATTAATGCGTTTTTAAAATTTTTTGATGTATTGCTGACTAATACAGCAAAATTCATAGCAGGTTGCCTTAGAATGGAAATGGAGTTTTGATTCTACACCTCATCTCAGTGCTTAATCTTATGTTATCGTCCCAATTTTTCATCATTGCTTTTGTGAATTATGCATATTGTATCTTGTACATTGCTGTTTAGTAATAGCTGATGGTTTAATTGTATGAATATTTGCAAGTAACGCGATGCTTGGTGTCGCTCCGATGATGTCTGCTAAGCGGTGCCAGATCAGTAAAATGGACTTGAATTTCCCACGTAAATATTATTTCTGTATTATTACTATAAGAAATTTTGAGTCATTTACTGACCATTCACATAGTATGGACAAGTTTTTTCAACCTTGGCTGATCTTCAATCATTGGTCTTTGCTTATTTATCTGTATTTATTTGTATATGCTTTTACTGAAATTACTCTGCGGCTTTCGTTTCGAAGAAAAATGAATACATCATGAATCGATTCATACACGTAGCTGCCAAGTCAGTTCTGTTCCTGGGAGTCTTTATTTTTGGCAGGTATGTAAAACGAGATTTAAAGCTGCCTCCGCTGTTTGTCTAGATACCATTGTACGATACTGAGAATTAAGCATATAGTAGGCAAAATGAAAACGACTTTTATCGATTTATTCGGCAGAAGTACGCTAAAGTTATTATTAACTGAATTAAACATTATCTGAGTTAAAGGCTCAGGGGACGACCAAGATTAATTTAGTGCAAATATATGGTTGGAGTCTGCTTTAGACTCCAGTGTCGTCTGCCGAAGCTCAAACTCTAGCACAGGATCGGAACGTCGGACGCACTGTCAGACGCAGCTGAATTCGTGATCCGAAAGTAGAAATGATCATGGAAGATGAAGACGATTAAACATGGAATATACTCTGTTAGGATATTTCGCCTTTTATGCTTTCTCGGGAGACATTGGTGTAAGTTTTGCCTTCATAAGAGGCGAGTGCATCTCCACCACCGTTAAGAGGGAATTCTATGAAATGTTTGAAACGGTTTGTAACACCACGAAGTTTTTGAGAAGCAGGCATGCAGAACTCAACTTGAACATTTGTTCACTAATGTTTGGCCAATGATGTATGCAATGTCCGTTAAGGTCCTGCTGAAGAGGAATGATGAAGAGCTTGGGAGAAAGTTTGGACTAAGTTTTGGATAACT